AGTCCTGAACCAATCTGTAACCAGGAAAGTTCATCGATTAATTCATACTCTCTTCATATATCAATCTAAAGATCATATAATAAACTTACATAAGGTGAAAAAATATTTAAGTATAAACAGTCTTCGTCAACATCACGCACTCCTTTTGTAACTCCAGTATACGAACTAGGTTGAGGACATGCCGGACCCCAATCGACAGCTTGTAAAAGTTGCCATCCCCTAAAACGAATTAAAAATTGAAGCATCTATCTTTATAATATAATATTACATATCATCCATATACACAAACCTATGAGATTTTGGTGGTTTAAAGCGACCTTCTTTTATCGGTGGCATAGCATAAGGTATTCCCAGAAACACATTAACATTTTTTGTAACTCTTTCAACTTGAACATTATAAGGCCTGTGTTGAGCATCTGGATCGTCATACAAATAAACTTTAAATCCTTGAACTTGTCCATAATTAGTAGTAACAAAAACATCGGTTTCTAAATTCCTTGAATCTCGTCTTTCTTTTCCCTGTAGATCGCTTCGCCATCCACCGAGTATTCCTGGCAGTGGTACTCTAGGTGTCATGTCCTAAAATCATTAAATCTACTTTACTTAAAGTTATATCACTGTCCTATTTGCATTAAAGTGACTTTTAACAATAGGATTTGGTTAAAGTCTGCTGATATCAATTTTAAACTGTCTTATTTATTTTGACATACCAATATACTGTAAATATAAGAAAAACGTCAAATATAAATTTAATATACAAAATCTAAAAGGGAAAAGAGAAATAAAACATAAAAATGCTCTTTCGAAGGATTATAATAATTGACCCACCCCATAAAGATAACGATCCTCAGGAGCCCTGGTTGGACCTCTGTAAATAGGATCCAAGTAGCTGGGTTGATAGCCATATCTCCTATCTTTGTAGATATAGGTCTGGTACCCGGCTGGATTTGGTGGCACATAGACGCCATCGCGATTATAATATCTACTACCTTGGGATATTCTTTCTTCGCTGAGAACGTTTTGATGACACGTTTCAATGTATAAGCAAATGTAAACGATTAATAAAATGTTGTGTCTGGTTGACGCGTGCTGATTAAACGACGCGGCCATCTTTGTCTTCTCCACGTTTCTACACAAACGTAAAAGCGTCTATTTTCTCTCGATTCTTACAGGTGTGGTCGTTGCGCTGATGACTCGTGGGTGCGCGCGTGCGCGCACCATCCATTCAATGACCGTAGTAAGTAGTATATATTTGTATACATAACTCACTTACTCACACGTTATAAAAATGGCCATTCGTGACGTACTTCACAAGTGTGTTTTGTAAATAAAAAGAAAGGAGTCACGTGCATACGCTCGCGCATGCGCACATCTTTTACAAAGAACTCTCGTTCTCGTCGAACAAAAGAAAGGGAAAGGGAAAGGAAAAGGTATAGAAGTATATAAGGGAATCGCAATTGCTCAACAGGACGTCACGTAAATATATTTCCTTTTGTTTTTAATTATATTAAAATATTTGTGACATACTTCGATAGGTAATAATACGATATAATCGTTAGTCGAGATGCAACAGAAGACGATTGACATACAAGAATTGTCAATGTTTTTAATAAAAAATTAAAATTCAAAAAGAAATCTCAATAACTTTTAAATATAATGAATTTTTTAAGACTCTCTGGATCAATTTTATAATGTAAAAGTACATTTAATGTTTTTAATAATTAATTATTTAAACATTACTTTCCTCAATATATTTAACCTAAATAAAAATCAATTAAAAATATAATTTATTTTAACTCCAGTAGTAATTTATAATTATTTAGATATTTAAAATGTTCTACACAGACTTTCAATAATAATATAAGATTATTCAAGTTATAATATGTAATGTTTAATTAATGAGAAATTAATCATTAACAATTTACAGTACTTCTATATGTATATATATATATATATATATATTAAATGCCACTATATATTTAAATACCACTTTTGAATCAAAACTTTAACTTTTTATTTAATTATTAATTCTTTATGTATATATATATATATATATATATATATATATATATGTATTTTTTTTTATATACTTACCTAAATATGTATATACATGTCAAAAATAATGGACTGTATAAAAATTTTGTATTTTCACTTGTAGAATGCAAAAATGAAATGTTTCTCGTTGAACGTTTGATGAGAAATGACGCGTCCGACGATCAAAGCGTCACTGACTTCTCGAGAATGAATAGTCACCTACGCATTCATTTACCAGAAATATTTTTCTACACAAATACACATTCATAATAGTTTCATAATCTCGAATATATATATACATAAATAATTCAGTTTGTGGATAGGTAAATCGTTGCTTGGAACGTCCGTAGGAAGTATTAATTGTGCACGAACAATCATTTAATAGAATGCATTCCCTTTTTTATGACACACGATGCCATAGAACTCTCATGTCATTGATTAGATACCGATAATAATAATCGATTGATAATAATCGCAAGATATATAATACGAAGCATGAGTATACATACACTCATACGTTTCCTGTTAGATTTGATCAATACAATTTTTGTTTTATTAATCTTTCATAATAGTTTTTCAGTTATAATTATTGTAAAAGACTTTTCACAATATAAAAGATATGTTATATATTATTCAAAAAATCATTATATCACAAATAAAATTATTTTTGAAGTGAAAACTTCTTTAGAATGAAAATAATTTGAAAACACGAAACACTGCAGCATTTAATTTAAATTGGTATCATTATTTATAAAAATATTACGCCTGTATGAATGCAACCCTCCAGACACACTTTGAAAATGTTGCTTGCGAGCGACATCTGTTGGGACGGAATTTTTTTTCTGCCCGAAAGATAGGCAACCCGTCATACATACGTGTATAAACAGTTTTGACTGGAAAAATATTCCGTCCCAGTAGATGGCGCTCGCAAGCAACATTTTCAAACTGTGTCTGGAGGGTTGCATTTTTACAGGCGCGCATTTTTTTTTTAATTATTAAATAAATAATTAGAAAAAAAGGACAAAATAATATTATATTAATATTAGATAATAAATAATTCTACTTCTGATAATTATGCACTCGTCTCATTCTCTTGAAACTTGCTTTTTTAAAGGTTTTACTTCTATTATAATTTGTATGATCTGCACACATGCTTTTTTTTAAATCTTATTTTATTTTAATTCATCCCATAAATAATGAAAGAATTTTTAAACAATTTTTACATCTAATTGTACAAAAATAATCCCATAATGTTTAGTAAGCGTTATAAGAGTATCGTGTTATATTATAGGGTTCTATTATATTTTTATTCTAATTTCTTGTAGAATGCATTGGTAAAGGCTCGTTGAATTTAATGGCAAGTTAAAAGAAGCGAACACTTTTTAACTTCGTCATAACGTCGGAAGAGAAAGGGTTGAGCGTGTAATTAACAGTACAGTCTTCTTAAATATGAAGCATTTAATCGAGTACTATGTGATATTGATTCGTTTTCTTAAGAGAGATTGTTGACCTATTATTATACATAATGAAGTTTATTCATTATTAAATTAAAACCTTAATTAAAATGTATAAAGTAGATCATTTCAATGGAAACTAATATCTTTGTAATTCATAGTTTTATGATCAAATTTTTAAAATAAAATAAAATGACACCACTTAGAGGGTCGTAATTTACTTTAGTTATACTATCACATGTAATATTATTTATATAATTTAATTTAATTTAATATAATAGGACTTTCTCTTCCAAAGTAAATTATTTATTAATTAACTGTCACAAAATAGTTCAACCGTTAAGTAACAAATAATAATTAGTCAGTTTTTTTTTTTTTTTTTTATATATACAAAATTAGCAGATAATTAAGTTTTCTTTGTTAGTAGGAAAATGTGAAACCAAATTCTAAAAGTATCAAATATAATTACACGTAATTTGTATCATGTAAAAGAAATGCTTTTTATATCTATACTCTTTAACAACGTGGTAAGTTCTTCAATTTACAGTAATTGGAAAATTTATTGCCATCGCAGTCCCGGCTTGGATGTATATGTTAGGTACAGTCGAAAGCAAAAATGACTGAATAGCTTTAATTAGGCGAGTACACGCGCACTATCATTCTTTCTTTCAACATAAAAATCGTCACGCTCGAAACAACGGGGTCGTTTTGATTTTGTTTAATTTCTTTTCTTTTCTAATATCAAACTCTTACAATCTAAAATTCAAAATGAAAATCATGCGATATTTTTCTAACGATATTTAAATATTAAAATTGAAAATTTATCTTTGAAACTTGTACAATTTAAAAACTAAATTTATATTTGATATTTTGACAAGCAAACTTGTAATTTAAAATTGAACAATAGTTTCTGAAGACTTGAAAAGTTTCATTCTCTTTTCAACATGCAAATCATTGGCCATTCTTATTCTTTATTCATTCATTTTGTATACAAGATACCGGACAAGATGATTTCTGGGAAGAAGATCTATGTCACGAATTTTCAAATTGCACACACGTGACCGCAGAGGTTCATCCTCATTCGGTACAAAGTTGATCCAAATGGGTACCATTATATTCCTTGTTCCTGTCTCATCGTCCGTACATCCTTCTTTTTTGTGAGAACTTGGACATTAAAATGCTCTTTGAACTCGTGGGAATAGGATGTACTCAGAGTCCAGTAAAAGATGTTCATTTAAATAATATTCCATTAATTTAACATATTAAATCAAATTAAAGTAGGATTTTTATACCACAATAAAATCTTATACAAATTTCTGACATAAACATTATTTAATGATTATTAATTCTAATTAAACATTTTACAAATTGTTAGGAACAATTGTAAAAATAATAAAAATATATAATTATTAAGGTTGAAGAAGAAAGAAACTAAGAGAAGAAAAAGAGAAAGATACCCATTATGAAAATGTTCGAATTTCTTTAGAAAAATATAGCCGAATGCAAGCCGCAGCCAGCAGATGCACCGGTGATCATGCGAGTATATGGCAGAAGGGTGGGGGCGGTGCAGTGGGGGTGCTCACATACTCTAGCGCCCACTTGTTCTTCCAGAGCGGGATCGGCTTGTCATTCGAGAACACGTTCCCGTTGTGGTAACATCGGCCACCTTTCTCTCTATTCCTCTAAAAAGATCCCATCTTTTAACTGAAAAGAGAATACACGAGTGTATACAAGTTTTCGCATAAGTATACAAAGATATATAGTGATAATCGCGTTTCGAGTAATACCAATTTATATGCAAATAATATGAACAAAAACCCCGGCAGTAGTATAATCAATTTTTAGTGAAACATTTAAAGATTAGTCCGTCATCGTGAAAGATAAATTAAAGAATTAAGAAACAAATAAATTGTGTCTTTATGAATTGATCATGAGAACGTTTTGAAAAGACACAGACGACAAAAATCAAGGAAGAAAATTGAAATATTGTTTAATTGAACATTTGTTTGAGAAATTGAAGAAAATAAGAAAAATGACGACGGAATCGTTGCCTCGTGAAGTGGACGCTCACATCGTTAACATTTTAACGAGACTTTCGAATATTAGAGATAATAATGTCGATGCATACAAAAGGATACCAATGTCGACCGAGGCGCGAAGTTTGGAACTTTGGAAGGCGGTTTTAGTAGAGTGCGTGGCTACTTTTTTGTTCGTATTTGCTGTATCCGGTGCAGCTTCATCTACTGCGGTATCCGGAAGCGGCCTATCCATCCTTGCGACTGCAATTGCTTCCGGTTTCGTTGTTTCGGCAATCTATTTCATCTTCGGCCATGTTAGCGGTAAGATTTTTTTAAGAGTATTTCTTTTTTTTAAAGAAAAAAACCAAAAGGAGTGAATTAGTGAAAGGATTTTAAAGTATACATATATTTATCTTTGTCTATTTGAAACATAAAAACAACTAGTTTCGCGAATAGATTCTTTAGCCCTCGTTTTAGAGGCACTTGTGGTCGGCCCTCGCAGTTCCTCCTCTCTCGATTAGCTCGTTAACCGGTTACATAGCAAACCCAGTATATATATATACATAGATACATATGTAGATACTTACGCGTAACTCGTTCATTCGAAGGCATGTGGGCACATTCAATTTACGTTTCTTTACTCACTCGTAAACGATAAACGAGCACGAGTTCTTCAATGGTTTATTTGTGGTTGTGTGTCATTAGAAATACTGAAAGACGGCGGGTCAGTGTCTATCTTAGCTTCAAAGAAATTAATTAATGAACGATTTCACAGTTTATGTTACTTTTCCAAATCCTTATTTCATTCTAATTTAACAAAACATTTCTATCTGTCTTCTATATTTTATGTTACTTTGTTTTTTCAATCTATTTATCTGTACGATCAAATTATCTCTTATTTAAATATTATATGTAATTATATATAATTGTATGATAAAAAAAAACTTGAGTAACGCGAACGAGAATGTATATACGGTTCGGTTAGAGGTGTCCCTTGTTTATAGATATAAACCAAAGCAATGTGAGAAGACAAGCTGAAAGATGTGATAAACAAGAACGCGTGAGAATGTTTAAATTATTTTTTAAAGCTCTAGTCAAAATTCGTTTGTACCATACTGAACGATAAATGAACCAGTGATCGAAACAAAAACTTGATTATTTATGAATGCGTTCTTTGATCTCGATCTAAGTTTATATTAAAGATTTGTTTATTTTAAACGGTGGAATAACGATCGAAGCACAAAGCCAGTTAAAAGACTTGATGCTTCAAGGGGCACCAGTTTTGTATTCTCGAATTGAAGGCTCCCTCGAATCGGAGCATGTTTTAGGTAGAAATTATCTTTCTCTCTCCCTCTTTATTGATAGATGTCTACCGACAGTGTCGATCTTGAATACGAAAGAAAAAGAAAGAGATCCTTGCTTTGGAAAGGGTCGACGCAAGTTAAACTAAACTGAACAGGATGCCAACAGATGGTTGCAACCACGTGTTCGTTCTCTCAAGAACCATCCTCCCGTTCTTTGGCCCATAGGGTTGCTCTATTAAATACACGCGTGTACATTAAGTTCTTTCTACACTCTTGCTTTATCCTCTTTTTGAATTTATAATATAAATACAATTATAAATATAAATAAATATAAAAAATATATTTATATCTTCTTGGTAGCAAATTTGCCGATTTATAATCTATAAATATCATTCCAATTTTTCCTTTCACATAATCGTATTTTTTTGTTTGTTTGTTATTTACAGGATCACACATAAATCCAGCTGTATCGTTATCATTTTTCTTTCTTCGACGTATCTCACCGTTACGTGCAGCACTTTACATAGCAGCTCAATGTGGCGGAGGTATAGCAGGAGCTGCAACGCTCTATACGTAAGTTATCATTTTTTTTATCTCAAATTAAAAACTATCTCAACAAGAATAATTTATATATAATTTTTCAAACGATAAATACGAGTTTCTTGACAATTTTGATCTTTCACAAAATTGATAAGAGAACTTCCGTAAAGAATGAGATGCACTGCGACAAGGGGGCAGCTGCTAGATATGGAATCCGAGAAGCACACGGAGGCATGTGGTTGAACCCCCCAAAACTCCTCTGCCTTTTCTTCGAGAAAGACAGGCCCCTGCCACAGCCGACTGGCGTCTTTTGCACGAGCAGGTTTCACGCGCGAATCTCCCTCTCTTCCTCTCTCTCTCTCTCTCTCTCTCCCTCTCTCTTCTTTGTGTCGAATCTTACGAGCAAAACGAAACGCGACTTCGTTGCTAATACCTTCATCCTATTTTTATTCTTTTCATTCTTTCCTTTCTCTCTCCCCAATTCTTTTTCTTTTTTTTTTTTTTTTAATCATATATTGGACTGTAACTTATATTCCTCCAGTTCTCTACATTTGGTAGACAAACTTTATGTTATCGTTTATTATTAATTGGCTCCTTAAATAGTTTCAAAGTTTCTTTTCAAAATTACTCGTAAATTAAACAAATTAATCTTCGATAAATTAACAAATTTCTACTTAAGATAAAGTCCATAAAATATACGTAGATAATGCAGTAATTTAAATTGGAATTTTTCTTTCTGTTTTAACCCTGTAGATACACATTTATTTAAAAATTACTTTGAAATATTATAATAATTTATAAATTAATATTAAATATAATATTAAATATAATATTAAATATTATAATAATATAAATCTTAAAGAAAGTCGGCTACGAAGACAGCGAATGAAGAGGTCGCACTCAGGGACGGAACATTATCGGGATTTGGTATTTGCGGCAATGAACTTTCGAGTTTCTAATGCCAATTAATAATAATAATAATAATAATAATAATAATAATATAACAATTATTTATTACTTTGAAATAAACCAGAATGAACTAGTTAAATCTCGTCTCAGTTTCAATGAGCCCAACGTTGTTCGTTGGGCTTCTTTGCCCAAACAAATGCATAATTTACTGATACGTCAAATGTAACCAAATGGTTAAACGTAACAACCTACATAAATATATGAAAAATATGTAAAAAAAGAAAAAAAAAAGAGGAAAGAATGTTCAAAGTTTCAATCGAAAATTATGACAAATTCCAAGATGAAACAAAGAAAAGAAAAAGAGACTAAACGTGTGTCATGAATTTTAGAAGGATAAAATTGTAAGGGCACGTGTTCACGATAGAAAAATAAAAAAGAAGAACAAGGAAGAGAGAAAAGATTGCTTGATCCATGATACATATAAATATAAACCTTACAAGAACACACACACACACACGCATAAAATTCGAATAAGAAGGCGGAGGAATCCGTCGATTTCTTGGTGCAGACGGCGGGAGAACGCGCGTCGTGTTCTCTTTCAACGTTGCTAAAGATATCGAATATGGCCCATAGCTTAAGCGTGCGCACACCATGGGTGCACGTGCCTCGATTTTGCCTGGAGACTTAACAGTGAACAAAAAAATATAAAGGAAGAAACACAGAGAAAGAGAGAGAGACAGAGAGAGAGAGAGAAAGAAAAAGATACATCACTGGACCCAAAATGAAGGAAGAGAAGGAACGAATTGAGTTGAACGAGCAGCCCTTTTTCGAGGACGATGAGGAACAGGAAGAACAGATAGAAAGACAGACGGACAGACTGAGAGAGAATGAAAGAAAGAGATTGAAGAGAAAGGAGCAGCAACAGCAACAGCAACAGCAGCAGCAGTACGTAGGAGTGAAAAAGGATGGATATATAAGAGAGGCTGAAAAAGGCACGCGTAATTGGCAGGCGAGGGAGAAGCTCTCGAAGGTGAGCACCTGCCCCGACTCGAAGGAGAGTCCTGTGCTGGGCCACCGCCTCGCAGCTGCCGCAGATGTTTCGTGGACCAAAAAAGATCACGTAGAAGTAGAAGGAGAAGAAGGAGAAGAAGAAGAAGTAGGAGGAGGAGGAGGAGGAGGAGGAGGAGGAGGTCGACAAGCTGAAGTATACGTAGGGAGGAGAGAGTATGCGTTGGCTGTTATGGTAAAGGCGAGGATAATGAATGCTTATGCTTGGGACAAGCTTCAGGATGCGATCGAAAGATCGGCTCGTTCGAAAGAGGACATGCCGTGATCCAAGAGCAGATGTTCCATAACCATACTTTAAGATCATTGTCCACATCGATACCGACTATCTTTTTATTCTTTTTACTTCTTCTTTCTTTTCTTTCGATTATATTTATTTTATTCTCTTTAATTCGTTCCAACTACGCTTAAGTTTTGCAGTAAACCCTTTTATGTTGTGACAGTCTTTATTATAATATAATATATTGAGTTGGCAAGAAAGTAATTTCAATTTTCTAGTGTGAAATAAAACTCAATTGTTTATTTTTACGTTTATTTAAAATTACACGAAATTTGTTTCAACTACCAAACCTCAAAAGACAAATATTCTAACATTAACAAAAGAATAACGAAATAAATATAAAGCTATTGGTGCAAGCCGAAATTACTTTCTTGCCAATGTAATAGCATCGTTGCTTTAAACTTAAAATTAATTGGAACTCGCGTTATATGAGAATGTTTAATGTAATTTAAAATTTAAAATATCGTATTCCATTGGTATTATTATTGTACCTGTTTCACATCACCTCGGATCATCCATACATATCTCGATTGCACGTATCGTCGATGATCACACTTGGGGAACGGACCCCACTCGTACATTCGTCGAGTACCCGACTTAAATTTCATCGATATCTCTAGTAGTAAGGTGGAAGTACCCCTCTACTACTACTACTATTATAGATTCTACCCCATTGCTATTATCCCTCCATTAAATTCTAAACCACATTCTATTAAAAAAAAAAAAAAAAAGAAAAAAAAATTGATAAAAGAGTACGCTATTTACTTGTCAAGATCAGATCTATAAAAATGATTGCAAACGATATAAGAAAATTGTTCTCGATCAAAACTCAATAAAAAGAAAGATGCATTTTTACATCTACAATGATCTACAGTGATCCAATTTTGTTTAAATATCAAGTCAAAGAAGATATGATCGTTGATTGAAAAGAATCCTGATAATCTCAATCGTAGTAATATCTCATTTGGCATTTTGAAATACGTTTGGCTACAACGTTGGAAAATGAAGGAGGCCCAGTCAGTCATCCTTAGCATCACCATATGACCGCACAAAGAGGTAACAAGTGCGCGATATGTACCGAAATAATAATCTAACAATACTCTAGTTAACCGAACCAGCCACAAAACTCGTCCTCCCTTCGTCCAAGGGAAGATGTCTCAGGGGATGTTTCACCCTTATGTAAAAAAAACTATCCTACCTACTGTGAGAAATAGAAAGAGAGAGAGAGAGAGAGAGAGAGAGAGAGAGAGAGAGTGAGAGGGATGAAACCAGGAAGATATGGATAACGTGTGAGAGTCAGAAAGAAAGACAGAGAAAATATAAGTTGCATCTGTTACAACTCTGTCAGCCAACAGAGGCTTAGGTCTGTGTAAAACACAGTTCGTATCGTTTCTCGATAAGGGGTAGGGATAAGTATACGCAACCCCTATTGTGAAACTCCCGTTTCAATTGCTATCTCTTTCTCTCTTTTTTTTGCGGAATCGTTTTTTGGGTCAGTTCCACCTAACGCAAAGGGTATAAATATAAAAAATAGCCAGATAAATCGCAAATCAAACTGATACTCCAGGGAAATAGGATAACGTAGAAAGAAAAAGATGGATAGAAATATAGGAAGGTAGTAGAGAGAAAGAGAGAGAGAGAGAGAGAGAGAGAGTAGAAAAACCGCATGTGGTGGTATATGAAAATATATATGTATATGGGTCTCTCTAAGTGTCCGTGAAAAATTTACTGTCACTTCTTCATTTAATGAACTAACAGGATTTTTCCATTATCCTTTTATCATTATTTCCTTTTTATTCGATATATGTGCATACTCAAAACATTACCAATGATCTAGTTCTCGTAGAATATTTTCTTTTTTTTTTCCCTTTCTACATTTTTCTTCTTCGTTTCGTTTCCAAAACGAAGCTAACACTTTTCCCCCAACCCAGAGAAAGAGAGAGAAAGATTGGATGCATCCCATCGTTCTGGTTTTTTTTTTCCTTTTTTCCTCTTTTCAAACGTTGAAACACGTACAAGGTACTTCTCTTGAACGTTGGATGAATTTTACCCCATCGCGTTTTACGATTTTAAATTCAGTACGTTTCTAATCCGGTAAATGTATGGATATTGAATTTTTTATAAATAATTTCGCGTAAGAAGAATTTCAAAGTGTATTTTTTTCTTTTTTTTTTTGTATTTTCTATTAATTTGAGAAATTATAATAATTTGAAAAACAGACATATAGTTGCATTCGTAACAATTGGTAAAAGATAGAAAAGAAATCCATTTATCGAAGAGGGTTTGCCACCACGAACACACGAAGGAAACAGCTGTGAGGAAGCAGGTGTGTAATGACGTCAGTTTTAAGACACACGCAGTGCGCGTGGCCAACCGGATGTCCTCGGATGTGAAATATTTTTGACACGGGTCTTTCACGTTTTAGAAAAGTCAAAAACCTCGAGATATACATACATAATACAAAAAAAATAATAATCCTGATACCAAATACTCATTTTATTTGATTTTTTTTCCCCCCCTTTATTATTTGTATCATTTATTTCGCATGGCACAAAGTGAATTTTTATCGTTTCAATAACGACACGATTAATTGACAAAAGAAAAGAAATATAAATTTTGTAGTATCACCAAAAGAAATTCTACATACGTCAAATTTTTTATCTTCAAGAGTTACGATTCCATTTCTATAGGAATGACCAAAGTATCAGACTTAGACTATCTTATATAACTTTCTTCTTATAAATAGAGTACTTTGATATTACCACGTATAAAAGAAGAA